CYWMMAAGAGCCAGGCTCTTTCCAGGGAGGGGATGGCAGAAGAATGAGACAAATGGTCCTAAACTGAAACTCGAGGTTCGGATCAGATGTAAGGAGGAGATGTATTTCCCCTGAGGACACTCCTGCAGWACACAGGAGTTTTCAGAGATGCTGTGCTGTTTCCATCCTCGGAAGTTTCCAGAATCTGACAAGACAAAGCTCTGAGCATCCTGGGGATGCTGACCCTGTGCTCAGGCAGGAGTACAATCCAACCCAAACAATCCCTGATTCAGTCACAGGGCTGGAAATGATSCTGCCCTTTAGGCTCTCCACTGCCCTGCACTCCCAGAACAGTTAACTAAAAAGCAGATGGTTCAGAGTCACCCTCAATAACCTCTGCCACAGGCACCAGTGACAAGCCAAAGGCTGAGCAGGGTGGAAATCCTTGCCCAGGAAATCCTTTCCTGGGTGGAAATCCTTGTCATGAGGAGGCTGTTCCTATGGGATTCCTGAGCCACGCAATGCTGAAGGAATTGTCCTGCCCTCAGTGACACTACACCTGCTGTGGTCACAAAACTGAATAACAGTCAGCCATCACAAGGATTCTTACCAACACTAAAAGGAAGGCAAGAAGTGGAAAAGAAGGAACAGGGAATGTTTATGGCAAGCAAACTGAAAGGCTCTGATAAATCTCCACAAAGATCTGACTTAAAGCAAACAAAATTATTTGAGAAGTCTACCTCAATTTAACAGAATTAATGTTTTCTCCAGTCAGCATCCAAATGAGAATGACTGCATGGACAAATTTCAGGTTTGGGTTTTCCCACCTGTAYTTTATTAAATGAWGTAATATAAACTRGCAGTGAAAACAAGCTGCAYACACTTMGAAGCATTTAAGTGATAAATACCAGATTCTGGGTTATTTCTGTTCRCTYCTGAATCCAATGGGGTTTCATTTTCATACTCCTTGGTTTGGTATTACCAAGCCATTGCAGTCTGCCACAGTATAGAAAGCCAGGGTCATGTGTAATGTTAACTGCACATCTCCCTTACCTTTAACATGATATTCAGTCTTTTTCAGGTYAAAGCAATACTTGTGACTCTCTTAGCAATTCCCAATCACTTGCTTATTACGGCAAGCGCTGGCTGGTGCTTAGTAGATTCACCCCCACTTTTTTTTTAAAACACAGAATCATCAGACTTCACAAGCTAAATGCTAWTTTCAGTGTCTGCTGCAGCCTGGAGAACAAACCTGGGCAATGACAAACAATCTGGAGTTCATCCTTCATCTTTTCTCCCTAGCTTACCACCTCCTAGCCAACAAAGCCAAAAAGTAGAAGGAATGTGAGGAAGAAGAACACATGCTTTGAAAGATCATAGCTGGCATTTTGAGAGTAAAAGGCAAGTGCTCCAGTATCCCAAAGCAGTAACCTAAGGTAGTATGAGGATTTGGAGCTGGCAGTGGTTGGAGCTGAATTCTRTGTTGGGGGAAAAGCAGAAGGAGCGAAAAAGTTTTCTTCCTCATTCCCCCTCCTTCCCCCTCAACCCACCGCGCCCCAAGAATCCAACCAAGCAGAAAAAGCTCACACCAACCAAAACCCGAACCTAAGGCAGAACAAAGCTCAGCCTTGGCAGCAGGCGCTGGAGCTCGTTCCTGCCGGGGCCGGGCCGTGCGCGGTTCCCGGAGCTCCCCCGGAGCTCGCAGCCCATCCCTCGCCCTGCCCAGCCCGGCGCTGCCTCTCCGCGCACCCACGGGCCCTCTGAGACACCAGAACCACACAGGGAAAGCGCTCAGGGAGCCGCTGGCTGCCCCTGCGTGCCCAATTCCTCCCACACCGGGGGCGGTGGGCAGTGTCCGACCCTGGGCTGCGCAATGGCCGAGCCCGTCCCTCACGGGCCCTGCACAGCATTCACCCGCCCGCCGCTCCCTCACGGGGCTCGCCCGGCCCCTCACCTGCTCCGCGATCCGCTGCGTCTCCTCGGTGGCGGGCCGGGCCGCCGAAGCACCCCCGCACATCATGGTGGCACCGCTCCGCTTCTCCCCGCTCCGCTCCGCTCTGCTCCTCTCCCCGCCGGCCCTGCCCCTCGGGCGGTGTCAGGGCGGTGCCGGGGCGGTGTCGGTACCGGGGCGGGTCAGGGGCGGTGCCGGGGCGGTGTCGGTGTCGGGGGTGGTGTCGGGGCGGTCCCGGGGCGGTCCCGGGGCGGTACCGAGGGTGGTCTCGGGGCGGTACCGGGCCCGGAGCTCGAAGCCGCGGGCGGGGATCGGCGGCTGAGGGCGGCAGTGCCCGGCTCCAGCACCGCCCAGCCGGGGGMGGGCTCAGCGCGGCCGAGCGGGACAGGCGCTGCCCGGGCTCGGTGGGGACATTGCGGCCCCACAGCCGATCGAAGACAAAAACAGCCCGGAGGGACACTTGGCTGAAAGCGGCGGCAGAAATCAATCGGAGCCTGCACACG